CAAATAACTATTATGCATGAACAAAAGAATAAACAAACAAAGAAGGATCACATGAAGTCTATCCTTTGAGTATAGATCGCTAGAACTCTCTTAATGTCATCAGCACTCCGTCCACCGATCGCCTGGGCACGAGCAAGTGTAACCAAGGATCTGAGTGTCCTCATCTCTGTGTAGCCCCGAGTGGGAGAGAATCTAAAGTCGCGCTGAGGTCTGACTTGACTTGAGCTACCCTCCAAGTTGAACTCCATTCCTGTACACACAAGATAGAATCTATCAAGCTCAAAAAACAATGAATAAAGGGACGCACAAATGTAAAGCTGAAAGCGAAACATGCCAGAACCTACCATCAGCAAGGATAAATCTCTCATCGTTCCCTGGCTCGAGCAAGGACTTCAACACCTCACCCAAATCAAAGTCCATGTCGGCACGAAAGCAATTAGGTTCATCAAGCTCAACAAATAATAACAAGCCAAAGGCATTTTTACAAGTGTAAAAGTGCAAGTAAGATAAGAGGACCTACTGGTAGGACGATCGATCCCCACTATCAACATATTTCTCATTGTCAAAACTAACCCTAGTCGGGTGCAAGGGGTGAAATATTAGTTAATTGTTCGATTTGCGCCTTTAAAAGAGGGATGATCTCGATTTGACTATTGAAGAGGCAAATTAGAGGATATCTCCAATTGGTATTGAAAGAGAATTGACCCTCAGGAGGTTGAACAAAGAAGAATCGAGATTTCCACACGCTATTGGAATTCCTAAACTTGAGAAAATGCAAAGGGACTCTAGTGGTGAAAAAGACAAAGGTGTTACACTAAGCTAACTCGTGCATCTCGGAGACGCACCTGAAGAGGTCCATCGAGAGTGGGATGTTCTTGCTGAGGCAAACGTATAAAAAATATAATGCTTTCCTCCACGCGTTGGGGTTCATTTGACTAGGAGTGAGGTGGAATTCATTAAACATTGAGACGAAGAAATGATGGATGTGGAATTGAAAACCACTATCCATAATGTCTTTGCACACGGTGTCCCAAGGGGGTCGGACCAGAGAAGCCTTTCTTTGGGCCTAGGTGCTCTATAAACATAATGGTCAACGCATTCGTATTTGCTAAGTGATTTTTCCATCTTAGATAGGGAATTATAAAGACTATAGCATTTTGGAATCTCAAGATCTACCAACTTACCCGCCGGATCCCGTCCAATTTCTTTATTTTTGTTCAAAGATTTAGTTGACCCAATGTGTCTTTTTGGGGGAATCAATCAAAAAGAATTTTGGGGGAATATTAGGTTTCGAACAGAATTGACCAACCTCATGAGGGGAATTTTCAGCAAGGCTGGTCGATCTCGGGTCGGCCCCAACCGTCCCATCCAACGATGGTTTAGTCAATTCGCTCACCCCCTCATTTTCACTTTCGTCGGATGAAGAGGAAATGAATGTTTTATACATGATAAAAGGGGAAAAGAAAGAAGACAAGACTATGGTGAAGGAATAAGTGGAGAGGAAAATACCTTGAGGGAGAATGATGAGAATGGAATTTTGACAAATGAAAAGTGAGAGTGAATAGGAGACACTCACCTCTTTAAATAGAGGTTGATTTTGAATTTTTTGGGGGGGGAATTTCCCCCCAAAACTAAAACCCACTTATGGGGTGCCACTTGTGCAGTGTTTCATCACTTTACATCAATTAGGTTGCTGGACCCACTTATATCAAATGTTGGCATACGAATTAAAAACAAAAAAAAAATTATCCAACATGAAGAGGCTACCCCTAACATCGACAAGAGGTAGATAGGCTAGTGATATAGGATGACATCTATAATGATCTACGATGGCCACAAGGTGAAGACTACTTAATAGGCACTCTATGTAGAGCACATCATGTGAGGCTGACTGCCACCATGAGGCCATCTATGTTCACATGGGTTTATCTACCACTACAAGCTGCCTACTCCCATCAGGCCGTCGACGACTATGAGGCACTCAACGTTCACATGGGCCGTCTACTATTATAGACCGCCTACCACCACGAGGTTGTCAACTACTACGAGGCACTCTATGTCCACATCGACCGTCTCCCACTATAGACCGTCTCCCACTATGAGGCCAACACCACACTTAACCTCAAAAATGGTCATGAATCGGACGTGAATAGTAGATACAACCAACCACTGAAGAAGTGGGGATCATCCCTTCAGAACGTGGGGAAAGTGGGAGGAGTTACGTGGGACACGTGGCACCAATAACTGCTGAACAGGTACGTTGCATTAGGTGCCTATAAATACCCATAAAATGAGAAAGGTATGGATTGAAGAACCAGAACTATTTGAATATCAATTACATTTTTCCTATTTTCCTAAATCATCTACTGATTCTTACGCTGGAGATACAATGGGGGAGGAAGCCCCAACCTAATTTTGCAGGTAGCGTTTGTATATTGGAGCAGTCGGGACACCCTACACTTCAAGGAGAACGCTGATGTCTAAAAGATTTCATGTATTGTAAACAAATCAAAATTAATTAATTAATTTTTCAATTCAACACCTACTTTGCAGCATATAGGCTAAAAGTATTCAGTAAATTTTCATTGTAGGTCCTCAACTTATTTTCAATATTACAAGTTTGCACTGCCCTTTTTCTATGCCCAAAATGGTTTCTTGAACAATCAAATTTGTAACAGTTTGATCCTTAGTAAATGGTCTCCATGCATGTTATTTTTCAAAAGGTACATGAATAAATAAAGTTTCAAGCTTTACGAGTTTAAACAAGTATAGGTGAGGTTTAGTTGTAAAAAAGCGTTTTCTTATTTGTAATATTATTTAAAAAATTTAATCATTTTTAAAAAATTAATAATTAAAATAATACATATCAAACAATATAATTATAAAATACTATATTTACTTAATAATTCCTACTATCATGCAATTATACAATTTTAAAGTTTTTGAAATGCAAAAAGTAGAATATTTTTCATAGTTTCAATTTTCAACTAGACAAATCCTGCTTAATAGATTTATAAGAATTTCATTCATACTTTTGGATTTTGCAACAAAATAACGAGTCTCAAGATCAAAATTACATATGTAGATAGCACCACGGTTTAAATATTATTTAACTATTTAGATAAAATTATTTTTAAAGCTTGAAATTAAAGTCAAATGAAAAGTTTTTTTTTTTTTAAATGCTAAAGTCAAATAAAAGACTTTAAAAAAAAAGAAAAAAATTTAAAAAAAAAAAAAAAGAAGGA